GATCTTCTTCTCGGCCGCCCTTTTGGCCTTGGCCGAATCACTTTCGATGCAATTTTTGGACGATGCGAGGTTTTCACGTCCATCCATCAACGCTGCCAGTGTGTGGTTTTCAAGCTCTTGGACATGAGGAGACCCGAGGGCGGATTCCAGATCGGCTGACAAGTGTTTGAAGGAACGAGATTCATTCTTTCTGATCGCTTTTGGTGTCGAAGAAGAGCAGCTGAAACCCATATGAATGTTAGCCGACCTGGCACTTTTAAAATCGAAATAAAAGATTCGACGAAAACGAGTGAGACTAACCTTTCGTTCTCTCGTTCCTTTCTTCGATCATCTCTGGCCAAGTAATTGCACTAATTGCCGCAAACCATTCAGAGATCTTGTATATATCGAGAGGGTCGTCGACGATTAGAAGATGCCTGTTACCTGCAAAAGCAAATAGACGGATCAGCAAATATTAAGATACATATAAATATTTTACGGATTTTTCAGGGCGGTGTGTCTCTACCCATGACCTCCACCCATTTCGTTTGAATCTCAATGTCTCGGTCGGCGATGGAGAACTCATTAATCAATACGAAGTAATAGTGATCCCTCCAATCATTGATCTTTGTTTTCTGTCCACCAGTGATTATGTTGAACCAGGTCTTCATAATTGTGTAATACGACCCTCGGTTTCTTTAATTCTCCTTTGTTCTCTTGGTGTTTGTCATCGTGTCGAGCGCAGCACAACTAAGGGGGATGTTATGCTTGGTCGATATTACCAGCATACTGACGATCAAGCGGATCGTCGAATAGGAAAATTGCGAAATCGACATCTCCTTGTGATCAGCGAACTCCAATAAGAGTCTTGGAAGGGGAAATCATAAGTGGAACTCCCGGAAGAAGCACTCATAGACACAGAACCAGCCGTGTGGAGCATCCCATGGCCGCTCAGATGGACTGAGAACCATAAAAACTATTTTCGGACCGATATCGCATTCTTTTTTCAAAGAGACCAGCGACGCCATATTAGACTTGGTCGGCATAACTCCCAAGGCGTTGTCGCAGGTCGGCTTGATAATCGGTTCCCTTTTTCTCCTTTTCTTCTTCTCGATGGGCGGGTTCAAATCAATGATGCCGAACTGATTTATCTCATCCTCTACGATAAGGGAATTCAGCTCGTCCGAGATATCCATCTCATTTGAACCACCTCGGTCGTCTGATTCGTCCCATAACTCCAGAATCAAAATTGGTTCCCATGAAGATGCCTCACCACCCATCAGAACAGCCCCGACCTGGTTGGCATGAAAACGCTCGGCTGATGCCCTCTGGTTTTCTTCTCTGACCCTTTCGCGATAAGCTCGATCCTCGGAAGATAACTCGCTCGTATCTGACGAGCGATCTGGCGATGCCTGATCGATAATGACCGACTTTCCTTTAGATCGGCCTTTTGTGATCTCATCATCCCTGGATGACTCTAAGATCCGGTTAAACGAAGCGCCAACATCAGCGCCCCTTTTGTTAGCCGACCTGCTTTTCTTCGATTCAGGTCGGTCTTCCCCAATTTTCAAGATGTTGCTCATGGTTGATCGGACTTTCACGACGACTTCAAAGCAGATCGGAGAAATCACACAGCGGAGATCAAACGAAACGCGGCAGAGGTTTGATCGGAAAATCTAAAAAATAAAGAACAAGGAAAAGAGAGAAGATAGCAAACCTTTTGAGACAGTTTCGCTAAAATGCAGAAGTGAAGATTTTATGAGCCGAACCTCCTCTATTTATACAGAAATGTGGATGGTTATCGAGAGTCATCATGACTTCGGCGACTATTCATATTTCTTCTCATATATCTTTAATCGGCCTCTTCGTTTCCCCCCTAGCGTTTGACACGTGTCAAACCTAGTTTTGCATGTGCAGGCCTAGCCTAGCCTAGCCTACCTTTGGTGGGAACTTTAGGCGGGAACCTTTTCGCGCCCAATTCATCATTTGATCCCTGCCTTCTTGCCGATTTAAAATCAAAGGTAATGTTGTGTTTTACATTCTAACTTATGAAGTGGCCGATCTCATTTTATGCCGAGCTACTTCTCTTAAAATTCACCAAGTAACGTACTCTCACTTGCCGAACTGGGGGGGGGGGGGGGGGGGGGGGGGGGGGGGGGGGGGGGACTTACTGTAAGAGATAAGATTCGTATCATCTCTAAAAGCCCGATATGAACTTTAATCAGCCCATTTTGGAAATCCAAAGAATATTCAGGTCGGCTAAATAAATGAAATCTTCCATTTACTGGACTAAACCCGGAAAAGACGAAAGACTGGCCCTATCGGCAAGGAAGTTTTTCTATTTCAGATAATCTTAGTTATCTCCAGAAGACCGACCTGATCGGCTATAAATATAGCAAGTCTTCGACCCTTCAGATTATCCTAAAATACTCTCTTGAGACCTAGGGCAAACCAGCAATCTATTGTTCTTAGTTCTCGAGTTTTCTTTCATTCATATTTTAAGTCGGCATTCTTATTCCGACGACATAAATGACCGTGTATCTCCTGAGCTCCGACTTAAACTTAACAAAAATCTTTCTTTGAAACTATAAATTCTTGTTAGCTCTTTAGATCAGATTTGAGTTATCACAATAATTCTAAAACCAAGTAAATCAAAACTAATTAAACAAAATATTTTTTCTCTCCAATCAAATGTCTTTGAATGTATCTGGTCTGAACTTGTTACCTCCTCCATATATATCTTATCTTATCTTATCCAAAACCTCATGTTTTGTTCAACCTGTGACAATTGATTTTCTCTATTTGTTTATATTTCTCATGTTTCTTTTAAAAAAATGTTCTACAAATTGGCCGCCATGAAAACGTCAGATGTTTAAACGGGTAAAAAAAGCTAGTCAAAGAAAACGTCAACGCTCGATTAGCTAATTTTTAAATTCTTAATGTCTATAGAACAAAATTATTATAAGTTATTCATACATTATATAAAAACTGATTATCTAGAATGACTCATTTTTTAAATAACTAGAAAAATCAACTAAATTTATTATTATTCACACAACGTACTAATTACGTAAGTAATTCTATAAATCCAAATTTCTTTTTGAAGTCCTAAAAATGAAAAAAAAAATGGTAGATTAATATACTAAAATTTAAGTGTGTAAAAAAATGGGAAGATTTTCATAAAATCAACCAAAAATCCAAGCATGTGAGAAAATTTGAAAGAATTCCTAGTTTGCATAAAAAAATGTTAGACTAACAATCTCATATGTAAATTTGCGAATAATAAGTTTGGAAGATTTTTGTGAAATTTAATAAAAATATTGAAATCAGCCAAACAAAAAAATAGACAGATAGATAAACTGAAAATCAAATCTTTTAAAAAATGGTAAACTAATAAATTGAAATTCAAATCAACCATACAATTTTAATATTTTTTTTGAATTTGTCATAAGTTCGAAGAATCTGCCAAAAAATGACAGAAAACATTTTGAAAAGTTTAGCAATAAATTTAGAAGATTTTTGTAAAATCTGCTAAAATTTTGAAAAATTTATAGTAAAACTTTTATAAATCAATAATGTTGGGATCATACAGTTTTATAAAAATTTATCAATTCATATATATATATATTATTTGATTGATATACTATTTTTAAAATTGATTTTTTTTATTAATTTATTAAAGTATTAATTGATCTGAATATTAATTTATATAGATTGTACTATATGTAGAGTTTGCCAAAAGGATGACATAGTAGCACACTGATGTTCAAGTGTTATTTTTGTAACTATTTTTGTTATTTTGGAGTTCAAATTAGGTTTCAAAACTTAACCGACAAAAGATACAAAAATAACACTTGAACTTCAGTATGTAACAAAATATAATACCGAATCCAATTGGAATGGGGTTTAACCGCTGTGGTTTAGACCTAATTTGAATCTTTGTAGTTTGTCTTCTTCCTCCAATTTTTCAGCTCTGAGATATTTAATTCACCGTAAAATTTGAGTTTATACAAATTCACCGTAAAATTTGAGTTAATACAAATTCAAATTCCGATTTACCATTAAAAACAAGCCAGTGGTCCTCGGCGGATATAAGGAAACAAGCCAGTAGTTTACAGAACATTCTCCTTCGATTTCCTTTTGAAATTTCCTCTTCTCTTTACGCGTTTGAACAAGGGACTGGACTTGTTGTTTCCTCAACTATATTATGATTTCTCTTTACACTTTCTTCAAACTCTATTTCATCTTTCTCTCTCATGGCGGCTTCTTCTTCTTCCTCGTCTCACGATAAGAGCTTCCATGTATTTCCCAGCTTTCACGGCCCAGAAGTTCGTAAAACATTTCTCAGTCATTTACGCAAATACTTTACAATCATCGGGATCATGACGTTCAAGGATCAAGAGATCGAGAGAGGCCGCACGATCGGACCTGAACTCCTGAAGGCCATTAGAGAAGCGAGAGTGTCGATCGTGGTGCTCTCAACGAACTATGCTTCTTCGAACTGGTGTTTAAATGAACTGGTGGAAATTTTGAAGTGCAGAGAAGATCAGGGGCAGATCGTGATGCCTGTTTTTTACGAAGTTGATCCTTCCCATGTACGGAAACAGAAGGGAGACTTTGGGGTCGCGTTCGAGAAAACCTGTGAAGGTGAAACAGAGGAACAGAAGCAGAGATGGATCGACGCTTTGACATGTGTAGCGGAGATAGCTGGAGAACACTCTCGTAACTGGTTTGTTACTTTGTCTCTTTTGGCGCAATGAACCAGAATGCCCTGTTTTTTTTTTTTTTTTTTTTTTTCAAAAACCAGAATCCCCTGTTATCTTTCTTAATCCATGATTTAATGGTATAATTTAAATAAGATTTTAGGTTTTCCTTTCTTCAGGTCTGATGAAGCTGCGATGCTCGAAAAACTTACCACAGATGTCTCAAACAAACTGAAAGTGGAACTGCTCAAGGAACAATTTAGGAGTCTCGATGTAGACCAGACTGGTTTCATATCTGTACCAGAGCTTCGATATGCGATGGAATCTATTGGGGAGAAAATAACCGATGATGAAGTTAAAGAAATGATCCGAGAAGTTGATCTTGATGGCGATGGTCGGCTCAACTATGATGAATTCGCCAAAGTCATGATGGCTAACCCGAAAAGAAAGAAAAAAAGAAAAAGATTTTGTTCTGCTAGGATGACTGATGAAGAACGTGCGAGGGCCAAAAAGTTTGCCACAGAGGAAGAAATGAGGAAATTATTTATGTTTGGCGATATAGACAATGATGTCGGGATCGCTTTCGGGATCGCTTTCGGGAAAAGCTGCCAAGGGAGAACAGAGGAAGAGAAGCAGAGATGGAGCAACGCTCTAGCATATGTAGCAACCATAGCAAGAAAACACTCTATAAACTGGTTTGTTACTTGTCTCTCTTTTGGCTCAACGAAACTCTATTTCATCTTTATTTATTTGTTATGCTAGGATGAGTGATGAAGAACGTGCGAGGGCCAAAAAGTTTGCCACAGATGTGACACTGCCAAAGGAGGTAGAGGAAGAAATGAGGAAAATATTTATGTTTGGCGATCTAGACAATGATGGTTTCATAACTGAGGCAGAGATTCGATTTGTGATGACAAGAGATGGGAGCAAAGTAACCGATGATGAAGTTAAAGATGCCATCCGAGCAGGTGATGATGATGGCGATGGTCGGCTCAACTATGATGAATTCGTCAAATTAATGATTAAGTGAGTGATTCTGAACCCTTCTTTCTTAATCGATGATTCAATATAGTGGAGTTTCTATAACCCTTAAAAGAAAAAAGATTTAGAAGACTTTTGTCTTTCTTAACCCTTAAAAGAAAAAAGATAAGACTTTTGTCTTTCTTAACCCTTAAAAGAAAAAAGATTTAGAAGACTTTTGTCTTTCTTAATCGATGATTCAATACAGTGGAGTTTCTATAATTTAATAAGATTTTTGTTTTTTTAGGATGGCTGCGATGGTCAAGAATTTTACCACAGATGTTACAATGTCAAAGGAGGACGAGGAAGAAATTAGGGGTTTATTTATGGCTGGCGATGTAGACAATGATGGTTTCATAACTGAAGCAGAGCTTCGGTATGTGTTGACAAGAAGTGGGGCCAACATAACCGAGGATGATGTTAAAAATGCCATCAAAGCAGCTGATGTGGATGGCGATGGTCGGCTCAGCTATGATGATTTCGTCAAATACAAGATGGCTATGTGAGGGAAATCTTAACCCTTCTTACAATGAATTTGCATCGCTTTTGTCTCTTTAGTGAAGTTTCTGTAATCTGATAAGGCTTTACTTTTTTTTGTTTTTTAGGAAGATGATTGAAGAAGCTCCCAAGGGCAAAAATTTGGTGATGCAGCGCATCGTTAATATTTTTCGGGCTTTCGTCAAACACGACTTGGGCTTTTGCGTGTTTGACAAGTTAGAGTTTTTATTCAACTATTGTTTTCCTTTTCTTTAAGTTAGAGATAATTACTAATCATTGATTGATTAGGGTTGTGTTCTTTCGATTATAAAAGGGTTGTCGAGGGCTTTGTAAACAACACCTTTTGATTTGATAATTTAATACACTAAGAGCTTTTAAGCACTAAGAGGAGTACTCTTAATCCCTTTGCCTTATCCGAGTTCTTCGTATAAGTCAAGATCCGAGATTGTTAGCGAGTTCTCCGAGAGTGCTAGCTTCAATCTTGTTATATTGCTTCCACTCTCTATCAGTTGGTATCAGACTAGAACGTTCCTGCAGTTGTGCCTCATCGACGATGCCACCAAAGAAGCAACCTACCGCCGCTGGTGCCAATCCCGAGGGTCCAACAGCCGAATGGGCTGAGCTCCGTACTACACTCTTAGCGATGCAGGAGAACATCCAATCAACAATTCACGCCTCTATCCAGGAGATGGGCGAGCTGTTGGTTACACGCCTAGGTGAACGAGATCGAAACCACTACCAGGGTCAAGTTCAACACGATAACCCGTTCGCCAACAGACGTGATGACGCTGACGATGAAGACGTGCATCACCAGCGCGGTCGTAGACCTGCACATCCCGACGGCGATGGTCGTGATAACAGGTGGGAAGCGGGCTTCAAAGTTGAGATTCCAGATTTCAATGGCGGCATACGTGGCGACGAACTCCTTGACTGGTTGGTGACGGTGGAGGAGGTGCTTGATTTCAAGCAAGTGCCCGACGATCGACGAGTCCCCCTCGTAGCAATGCGTTTTCGGGGACACGCTGCTTCATGGTGGAAACAACTCAAATCCACGCGTACACGTACCGGCAAAGAACCAATTCAGTCATGGGAGCGTTTAAAAAAGCATCTTCGCAAAACCTTTCTCCCTCATAATTATGATCGTACCATGTACAATCGATTACAGAATTTGAAACAGGGGAACAGGAGCGTTGATGATTACGCTGATGAATTTGCTCAGTTGTTAACACGTAATGAGCTCTACGACAGCGAAATCCAACTCGTTTCACGCTTTATTGGAGGATTGCGTCCCCAACTACAGAATGCGATGGCACAGTTTGATCCGTCGACCATTGCAGAAGCACGGCGACGCGTCTCGACGTTTGAGAATCAGTTGCGCTCGTCTACATGGAATGCCCCGAGCCTACGATCAAGACCTCCAGATCCGTCATCGGCGTCTCCGCAGGTTTCACAGCATACTACAGGGGACCCTTCGCAATGCTCTACCTCGATACCTGGTTCAGCAGAGGACACACAACTCCGTCGTTCCGTAGGTCCCAACGCGTTACGATGCTTCAGTTGTGGCCAGCAAGGCCATCGTCAAACAGCGTGCCCCAACCAGACTCGTCGGGGCTTATTGACGGATGACACACTGACGACACCGGCACCGGTTTATGATTCAGCAGACGAGACCGACGACATTGACGATAATATCCTACACACCCAGGGTGATACCGGATCCCTTCTGGTGACACGTCGAGCGTGTTTGATGCCACCTAGTCGTGGTGATCAATGGCTGCGTACAAATATCTTTCGCTCCACATGCACCGTTAATGAAAGAGTGTGTACGTTTATTATTGATTCCGGGAGCTCCCGTAATGTCGTATCGGCGGATGCTGTCCAGAAACTTGGGTTACCACGTGAAGCTCATCCAGCGCCATATTCATTGTCGTGGTTACAAGACGGTTGCACTGTCCGTGTCACTCATCGCGCACTGGTCGCTTTCTCGATAGGTCCTCACTATAAAGATCGCTCGTACTTTGATATCGCGCCAATGGATGTCAGTCATTTCATCTTCGGTAGAAGATGGTGCTAAAAACACCTACAAGTTTATTTGGGAGACCCACCAGATCCTTCTCCTCCCCACCCGTGACACCTATGGCCATTCCCTATTGTCTGATGTTCGCTTACAGCCACCACCGTCACCTGCGACAACGCCGCTGTTATGTTCTCTCGCGTCTTTTCACGCAGAGTTTCGTGAGTCCGGAGTTGCTTACGCATTGCTCTCTCCTACGCCGACGATTACCAGTGACTGCCTCGCTACTACATTTGATACACTCCTCCAGGAGTTTGCAGACGTTTTTCCCACCGATTTACCGCAATCACTCCCACCTCTCCGCGACATTCAACACGCGATTGACTTAGTTCCTGGCGCCACCTTACCAAACCGCCCCCACTATCGCATGAGCCCGCAAAAACACGAAGAGCTCCGGCGTCAAGTCGAAGATCTGTTGCGTAAAGGTCACATCCGGGAAAGCCTCAGTCCTTGTGCTGTCCCCGCTTTACTGATTCCAAAGAAGGATGGATCGTGGCGTATGTGCGTGGATAGTCGCGCTATCAACAAAATTACGGTCCGCTATCGTTTTCCCATTCCGCGACTTGATGACTTGTTAGATCAGATTGGTAAAGCATTAATTTTCTCCAAGATCGATTTGAAGAGTGGCTACCACCAGATTCGTATCAGACCTGGTGACGAATGGAAGACAGCGTTTAAAACGCGGGAGGGATTGTACGAGTGGCTCGTCATGCCGTTTGGCCTGTCTAATGCACCTAGTACATTTATGAGAATCATGAATCAAGCATTGCGCCCTTTTATCGGCAAGTTCGTTGTGGTGTACTTTGATGATATCCTCATTTTTAGCGCATCACCCGCAGAGCACGAGACTCACATTCGAGCAGTACTACAAGTCTTACGTACAGAGAAGTTCTGCGCCGCCTGACAGAAGTGCGAATTTGGAGTCTCAGAGGTCCTTTTCCTCGGGTATGTTGTCTCGCAGGAGGGTTTGTCTGTTGATCGTTCTAAAGTCGAAGCGGTCAGATCGTGGCCTGTTCCTCGTACAGTCAGCGAAGTGCGAAGCTTTCACGGCCTGGCTTCGTTCTATCGACGCTTTGTACCTCATTTTAGCGCTATCATGGCCCCCATCACGAATCAGATGAAGGAGGGTAACTTTCACTGGACGCCAGAAGCAGACGCAGCGTTTGCACTGATCAAGGAGAAGCTCACGTCAGCCCCAGTGTTAGTCCTTCCTGATTTTTCTCAGACGTTTGAGCTTCACTGCGACGCATCTAAGTTGGGTATTGGCGCGGTGTTAAGCCAGCAAGGGCGTCCCATTGCATACTATAGTGAGAAGTTATCAGGCGCACGCAGGCGATACAGTACATACGATGTCGAGTTCTATGCTATCGTCCAAGCAATTAAGCATTGGCGTCACTATTTAATCCACCGAGACTTCGTACTCTTTACTGATCACGATGCTCTGCGACACTTGGATAGTCAAGCCAAGGTTTCTGCCCGTCACGCCACCTGGATCGCTTTCCTGCAACAGTTTACTTTCTCTATTCGCCACCAATCCGGTAAGAACAACAGAGTAGCTGATGCACTGAGCCGTCGTCACTCCCTGCTTGCTACGATTCACACGACGGTGCCTGGGTTTGCTGCGTTTGCTGACCTTTATGCTTCTGATCCTTTTTTTGGACGTATATTGGTGGAAGTGGAGAATGGTTTGCAGAGTGATTATTCGCTTATTGATGGCTATCTTTTCAAGGGTCTTTGTGTTTGTGTTCCTGATTGCAGCTGGCGATACCATATTATTCAGGAATTGCACAATGAGGGTCATGTGGGTCGTGACCGCACACTCCAGCTCGTCCAAGCCTCGTATTTTTGGCCCTCCGTGCGTCGCGACGTCGTTCGTTTTGTGGAACGTTGTCGCATTTGTCAGCAGTCAAAAGGGAAAGCCTCTAATGCCGGACTGTACTTACCCCTGACAATTCCAACGCAGCCGTGGTCAGCTGTTAGTATGGACTTTGTGTTGGGCCTGCCTCGGACTCAACGTGGTTATGATTCTATATTTGTTGTTGTTGATCGTTTTTCAAAAATGGCACATTTCATCCCGTGTAAGAAGACTACGGATGCTGTGAATGTCGCCTCCCTGTTCTTCCGTGATGTTTATCGCCTACATGGTTTACCGACGTCCATTGTATCTGATCGCGATACACGTTTTCTGAGTCACTTCTGGAGGTCTCTGTGGAAGCTCCTTTGTACTAGTCTGGACATGAGTTATGCGTACCATCCTCAAACAGACGGACAAACGGAGGTGGTTAATCGTTCGCTGGGAAACTTGCTTCGTTGCTTGGTGGGTGACAACATCAAAAGCTGGGATACGAAGTTGCCCCAAGCGGAGTTTGCACATAATCACGCCACTAACCGAAGTTCGGGTTTCAGCCCTTTTCGCGTCGTATATGGAGTTGTACCGCGCTGCCCTTTAGACTTGGCAACGATTCCTGATCGCACCCGCCTCCATGGCCAGGCTATAGACTTCGTCGAAGACATCCAAACCATCCATACACAGACTAAGTTAAACCTCGAGACTTCTGCAGCTAAGTATAAGTCCGCCGCTGACACTAAGCGTCGCGCTGTTCAGTTCGAGCCCGGCGACCTCGTGTGGGTTGTCATCACCAAGGAGCGCATGCCATCTCATGAGTACAACAAGCTGCGGTCTAAGAAGATTGGTCCGGTCGAAGTGCTCGAGCGCATCAATGATAATGCGTATAAGCTTCGTCTTCCATCACATCTCCGCACCTCCGACGTCTTTAACGTCAAGCATCTCTCGCCATTTCACGGCGATAATGTTTCCCCAGATTCGTGGTCGAATCCTCTCCCACCCGGTGAGACCTGATGCAGCGCATCGTTAATATTTTTTGGGCTTTCGTCAAACACGACTTGGGCTTTTGCGTGTTTGACAAGTTAGAGTTTTTATTCAACTATTGTTTTCCTTTTCTTTAAGTTAGAGATAATTACTAATCATTGATTGATTAGGGTTGTGTTCTTTCGATTATAAAAGGGTTGTCGAGGGCTTTGTAAACAACACCTTTTGATTTGATAATTTAATACACTAAGAGCTTTTAAGCACTAAGAGGAGTACTCTTAATCCCTTTGCCTTATCCGAGTCCTTCGTATAAGTCAAGATCCGAGATTATTAGCGAGTTCTCCGAGAGTGCTAGCTTCAATCTTGTTATATTGCTTCCGCTCTCTATCATTTGGTCACAAGTGTTATATTGTCAAGCGAGGATGAGAAATCACTGAAGGAATTCTTTATCAGTTTCGATAAAGACGAGGATGGTTTCATAACTGCAGCAGAGTTTCAACTTGCGTGCATAGATGATGATGATCCATATAAGATGGCTTGTCGTCTCATCAAAAAATATGATCGTGATGGCGATGGTCGGCTCAACTTTGATGAATTCGTCAAAGTCATGTTGGCAATGTTAGTGATTCTTAACCCTTCTTATCATGTCTTACAGTGAAATCTCATCATGATTATTCAGAACCCTTTTGCCTTTCTTAATCGATGATTCAGTGGTTG